AGGAGAGGAGAGGAGAGGAGAGGAGAGGAGAGGAGAGGAGAGGAGAGGAGAGAAGAGAAGAGAAGAGAAGAGAAGAGAAGAGAAGAGAAGAGAAGAGAAGGATTTAGTCCTTGGAATCTGGCAGCTCCAGGGCCTCATCCCCACTGTCTCAGCCATCCTGTCACCAACCAGCTGATCCCAAGCCATGGTCTCAAGAACAAGAGAACATCGGTTTCTCCACGGCCAGGTCTGATAGTGTCAGTAGGTTAGGTAGCACAAGGCCTTCCTCGAGTTCTCCAACCACCGCTATGTTCCAGGCAGATGGGCAGCTGTCTCTACTCGGCCTGGGCCCACCCATTGCCATTGCGTGGTTCCAGCCTCCCATCTTGCAATGACCTCCCTTGTTCCTCTGAGGACTCTACTGTCAGTTCTGCCCCCATTTGAATGGCTTGGCTCATTCCAGTGAACTCAAGGCTCAGTTCATTTGGGGTTCCAGAGACCTTCATCATGGGCCCCATCTACTTTAGATAAAGCTGGCGGAAAAGTGATTAAGGAAGGCACATAGACATCTGGCCTCCATACATATGTGTGCACGCACACACACACCAACACACACATGGAAAACACACAAACATGTAACATCACATAGACAAATATTACATCTGAATGAACAGAGCCAGGCTAGAATCCCCCATGTATTGACATACATGGTGCCCTAGTGACGACCAACCAGGTGGTTATCAATACCCAGGCTTAGTTTCTGCATGCTAGGTGCCAGAGCAACAGAGCACCAGTGACGTCAGAACTGAGCCTGGTGACAAGAAAGACCCCTGAGAAGAAATCAGCCTGGGCCCAGCTGGCACTCACTGGCTGAGTCCCTGTTTGCCCATCTCCCAACAGCCTTCAGCCCTGGTGTGAGCATCCTGAGGTCGGCTGTGTTACTTTTAGCCTAGTTCCTGTCTCCCCAAATAGAGTGAACAACTACAGACCAAAGAAGTGATTCTATCCATGCCCAAGCCACTTACTAGAGTATGGGTCATGGTGGCAATTCCGCCACCAAAACCGATTCCAGCATGAGCATTAAAAATAAAAGGCAAGTTTGGCTGTGCACGCAGAGGCAGAGACAGGAGGATCCCAGCCAGTCTACCAGGATTGGTGTGTTCCAAGCCAGTGAGAACACTCATATCAAAAAACCGTATGTATGGTGCCTGAGGACAAACTGTCTTGGTTGACCTCCACCCTCCACGTTCATGTGTACATATGTACACCACACACACACACACACACACATACATGAACATGCACACACATACACGCAAGAAGACTCAGTCATTAAAGGGACTCCTGGAGCGGGGCTGACACCTGTCCATTATCTTAGAGAGTCTGAAACAGGAAGATCTTGAGTTCCAGGCCAGTCTGAGGTTACATAGTATGTCCTTGTTTTAGAGAAGACGGGAAAATAAATAAACAAAAAGTGGTAAAGTTCGGTCCCCCAAAATTCTAACCACATTTCATGTGGTTACAGGCACTCAGGAGAGAAGATGGACCGCCTCAGTAACCAGAGGGATGGATTAGCTGCTGGAGGTGCGTGACCAGGGCAACTACCACCACCTGAGCCAGGAGCTCCTTCTCCATCCACGTGACATCCAAGGTTACTCTCACCACCTTGCCAAGAAGAAAGAGCCCCCTGGTACCAAGCTGGTCACTCTTTAACTGGTCTTAACCCTGCCCAGCCTAGGAGACCCCTCCCTTCCCACATGACAGACACTGAGAGGCCACCATTGACCCTCCCATCTCTGCCACTTCCCGCCAAGAAAGCCCCCATTCCTACCCAATATCCATCTGCATTCTGAATACTCCATGATAGCTCTTCCTGGGTCAGGGTCTGGTGTTAGCCCAACACTGGACACACCCCATCTCCTTCCTGGGATCAGCATCCTGCAGAACCAGATGGCATGCTTTATCTCAGCCAGGTTCGTCAATGGGTAATGGTTTCAAGAATCTGAGGCCCCAGCATGGAAAAAGACCATCTTCCCTCTCATCTTCCATGAAATGCTGATGGTCGGTGTCCTCAGAACAGCCATGTTCCCTACAGTGCTATACAGAGAGGATGGGTAATCTTGTCAGTTTAATAAAATTTAGAGCGACATGAAAACAAACCCCTGGGCCTATCTGTGTGGGAGTTTCTGTATTAACTTAATTGAGGTGGGAGACCCACCCTGAATGTGGGTGGCACCATCCCATGGGCTGGGGTTCCAGATTGAATAAAAAGAAGAAAGAGAGCTGAGCTGAGCACCAGCATCCATCTCTCTCTGCTTCCTGACTGAGGAAGTCATGTGACCAGCTGCCTCACGTTCCTGCCGCCTTGCTTTCCCCGCCATGATGGGCTGTGCCCTGAAAGCGTGAGCCAACATAGTCCCTTCCTTCCTTCCTTAAATGGCTTTGTCAAGTACTCTGTTACAGAAGAGAGAGAAATAACAAAGACGCCTGGGTTCCTGGGAGTCACCCAGCCCTACAGGAACAGCCCATCCTGCCCATCTCACAGGTCACAGGACAAGGAGTCCTGGAACTTCCCCGCCAAGCACATCAGTCAGCAAGCAAGTTTGTGAGACTCTCATTTGGAGTTCATTGAGACTTCCACGTTCCCAGGGTAACAGTGCATCCAAACCACACTTAACCAACCTGGAGTCCTCTTGTGGGTTGAGGTTCCTGGCCCCACAGTGAACAATAACCGGATGGTTTTCTAGAACAGTCGCTCTTTGTAACTTTAAGCATTGATTGAAAAGTGTCAGCATGAGTCCGAAAACCTCCAGGGTTGCCAGGCACCAGCCAGGCTCAGTCCTTGCTTGCTCAATCTCCCGATAGTCAGTGACCCTGGCAGGATCCTCCTCGGGGCAGGGGGTGGGGTGGTCACAGGATGTGCTGAGGTCAGTCCAAGAGCAAACAGACCCCAGAAGGACAGATGGTGCCCAGCTTAACATAGTTATAGACCAGTGGCTCTCAATAGTTGGATCACGACTCCTATGGCAAACCTCTATCTCCAAAAATATTTCCATTATGATTTATAATAGTAGCAAAAATTACAGTTATGGGGTAGCAATGAAAATAATTTTATGGCCAGGGAGCTCCACAACATGAGGAACTGTATTAAAAGGTCATAGCATTCCATGCTGTGGAATGGGTGTGATGGAGATTCGGACATCAGCAT